GCCGCTCCCACCTCGCCCAGCACCGGCGCGTCCACACGGGCGAGCGGCCGTACCGGTGCGAGGACTGCGGGAAGAGCTTCAGCCAGAGCACCCACCTGGTGCAGCACCGGCGCAGCCACACCGGCGAGAGGCCGTACGTCTGTGCCAAGTGCGGGAGGAACTTCTACCAGAACTCGGGCCTGCTCCGCCACGCCAGCTTTCACACGGGTGAGAAACCCTACAGGTGCCCCCAGTGCGGGAAGCGCTTCAGCGACAGCTCCAACCTCGTTGCCCACCGGCGGCTCCACACGGGCGAGAAGCCCTACAAGTGTGCCGACTGCAACAAGTGCTTCAGCGAGAGCTCGAAGCTGGTCATCCACCGGCGCGTCCACACCGGTGAGAAGCCGTACCTGTGCCCTGACTGCGGAAAGAGTTTCAGCCAGCGCTCGCACCTCGTCCAGCACCGTCGCACCCACACTGGGGAGAAGCCCTACAAGTGTGCCGAGTGCGGGACCTGCTTCAGTGACAGCTCTACCCTCATCCGTCACCGTCGTACCCACACTGGGGAGAAACCTTTCAAGTGCTCCCACTGTGGGAAGAGCTTCAGTCGCAACTCCTACTTAGTCTCCCACCAGCGGGTGCACGTGTGGTAGGCAGCGTCACTAGGTGCTGTCTGGGGGTGGTCTAGGATGCAGCTCCTGATCCAAGCCTGTCCAAATTGTGCCAAAGGGACAAGGAGGTGGACAGGGGTATGACTACAGCAGGGCCCCGGGGACTATGAGCAGCTGGCCAGAGTGATGCCTTTGGCCTGTGTTGCCATTTTCAGTCGCCTCCTTCTTCTAGCGCACCTCGGGCGCAGACAGAAAGTGAGCAGTGGTTGTGGTGGGTAGTTCTGCATCCCAAGGCCCTGTCATCCACATTCTCCGGTACTAGAGTTGGATGCCATCTGCCACATGCAGATGTCCTCTCCGCCTCCCTGTGAGAGGTGTCTGAATCACAGAATCACAGAATGTTGGGGGTTGGAAGGGACCTCTGTGGGTCACCCAGTCCAACCCGCTGCCGAAGCAGGGTCACCCAGAGCAGGCTGCACAG